AGTAAGTATCATCTTACTGTCGGGGCTTCATTTACAACAATCTATATGCACATTAACACCAACATATTCCATGGATACTGGAAGAAGGCATGCAACATTAGCACATTAGCACCCACATATTCATAGGAACTGACACTAGAAACAAAAGAAATATAATCAATATAAATAGCCTTCCAATTACCTTGCAGGTCAGCACTGACACTCTCAAAAGCATTCAGAACTAGATGAACATCATCAGTAAAAGGAACTTCCAGAACTGAAACCGGACTGGGCTGCTCAGCTTCCTTGGAGCTTGCAGGAGATTCGATTCCAGGTACAGACTGGTTAGAGGGGACTGCCTGTTCATGGGGTGGCCTGATTGAGGGTTCCTGGAAATTTAATGAAAAATATTTGAGACAAATTTTTTTTAAATACAAAAGCCCTGCTTCCAACTGAGCAGGGAAGGAACTTCAAACACATCTAGAAGCGACATACGTTAACGGTATGATGAATTGATGCATCTACTTGTTTGTATAAATGGTTGTGATAAAATAATGAACATCCCACAATGAGCAATTTGCAACATACACATGTTGTTGGGAACAGCAAAGATGAAATCAGTTCAGGAAATATCAACGAAACAGGTCTCCAACAATTCTATATCATTGCAGCAGTGATATTATCATACTACACGCGCGCGCGCACACACACACACAAAAAGAAAAAAGAAAAAACTTGAACACAAACCTGTGGAATTGCATTATCTTGGTGTCCACCAGATGAATAGCCTTCTACCGACATATGAGATGATAATTCTGGAAGGAACACGTCAGGAGTTTCAGAAGGCTTGGATGCATCCACATCCACCAAATTTGCCGAAACTGGACTTGCATCCATAGCATTACTAGGTGGTGACTCAAAGACTGCAACATTCTTCTGGGTTTGATTGTTCTCTTCCAAGTCAGTTTCTATCTTTATTCTCAGTAGTATGAGTTTCAGGTGAAATGTCAAGAGCTTCCCTACTTGAGGGAGACGAATAAGATGTTTTGTTTCTGGATCTAGACTGTTTGTGAACACCTTCTCTAAGATCAGATTACCAAGTTACTATACGGTGTCTTTCGTGCGGGACTGTATCCTTGGCATCGGATACTTGTCATTATGTACAGTTTCACACCGCATACTTGTTTTAAAACTTCCAAACACACTAGATGAAGAAGGAAGAGATTTTGATCTTGATAAACTATTGATGCATCCATCCTTCCAACCATCCCTACTGCTGATACCCAGAGGGTCCACCCCCTTCAGTAGAAAATGTATCTCTGAATCCTGCCTCACCAATCATGCATTCAAATTAGCAGCTCGCGTTTCCTTGTCTGGGACAGCAAGCATTTCACCAAGTGTGCTGCCCCTGCTCACAGGTCCCATTTCTTGGGACTTGTGTGTCAGTTTCCACCTCTCTGAAGCCTCTTCTTGGCCTCTCTACTCACAGATGATTCAGTAGAGCACGACGATGAAGGCCTGGAGTGGTTACTTATGTGAAAGGAAGCCTGGAAGCCACCGACATCCTCTCTGACTCGTTTGCAGATTCATTCTCAGACATGCTACAAGAACTCTCAATCACCAGCATATCCTTTCAAACCAAGAGGAGGAAGACGCACAGAATTACTGCTAAAGTTATTTCTCATTTTCCTTGTGATTCCTTAGCAATTTCTCTAGATTCCTCTAGACTTGTGTCTCAGATGCCCATCATTATCTTGGACGTTTTTCCTTCCACATGATTCTGCCTCCCTGTTTCTAATGCTCAGAAATTCAGCGTGTTTGCCACATCTAACATAGAAGCACGAGGAGAACAAGGTGATGTTTTGGGAGCATTCAGCACCTTCCCAAGGTTTGGTTTCAGAACAACTATCCTTGTAGGATGAATTGTAGGATGAATGGCAGATTCAATTTTCACTTCTGGTCGGTTTAGTGATGATTCAAGAGGATGTCTACTGTCAGAGTGCTAGAAAAAGAATCCCGATGCTTCTGAGGAGATTTACAGCGATGCTTCTGCTCTCTTGCTGATGTGAAGCCAAGGTCAATGTTTTCATACTTTTGAGCTTCTGATGCTTCAAAGATGCTATGCGACCACAAAGGATTGAGGACCACCTTGCAGATCATGCATATGTTTTGTGAACAATGAGTCTGGTTGCTGAAGGAAAATTTCAATAGAAATCCTTGTTAGATTCCAGCACCTCAAGCACATCATGGAACTCCTTTGAATCCTGTAGCCTCTCATCTGTTTGAAAGGCGTTTTGCATCCATGAATTTCTGTCGAACAAAAGCCATTTCAGCATCACTGAGCTTTGGTTACACTTCTCGAGATGAGTAAATCCTTGCAGGTTCATAAACTTCAAACACATCCTTAAACTCCTGCTGCACCCTTGAGTTCTTCCTAGATGAATGGCGGTCATGCAGACTGCTTCTGTGCTCTTTCTTACCGATCTTTTCTTCTGAAGATAATTCTTGAAATGCCCTTTGATTGTCTATCAGCAGGCTGCTGAGGTGGCAGCCCATCAAACCCATCAATTGGCAATTAGCTTGGTATCTCCTTCTAGGTTCGTTTCTCTCACCATCTCCTCAGCCAAAACTTCTTATTGGAGTTCCAACAGCTTGCTGTAAGATCTCCTGCCCAATTCAGGAACTGCAAGAACATACTTAAACACTTCATCATGCATGTCACATTGTGAATTGTTTTCAATACCAATATAAATCCAAACAAGGCGAAAATTCAGAAAAAAACAAAAACAAAGAAAGCGGAATCTTTTGGCTCATTACTCTGCTCAAGTTAACAAAATGAACAGAAAAGCAAAATAAAATTAGTAATTAGAAAAAACACCCCGAGAACTCTAGTTTTTATGAAAAACACTCATGAGCTCCATTGGAGAAAGAGAAAGAAAAAAAACCATCCAAACCAACTCTAGGGTTTATTTTCTTAACTACTGGTTGATGTTCTTTCTCTGAAGTGTAACGCTATCAAGGGCTTCCATGTACAAACCCCAAATAAAATCATGCAGCTCAATACACACAACTAGTAAATAGGAATGAGATTACCAGTCTTCGCCGTAGAGCCACTACTGCAAGAACTCGAATCTGAGGCAATTTCCGAAAGTCTCTCTGTTTAGAACCTGCCTGTTTCCCTGAAACAAAACACAAACATGAGAATCACCATTTCAAAACCATAGACAAAACTGAGAAGGTCCACTGCACAAAATTTACAAGTAATTAACATTCATCAAATGAATTAGAATCCAACCCAGTAAACTACTGAAATTTCAATTGTGCCCTTCACAAATCAAAAGGAAAGGAAACATCGCAATCAATGTCTGAAAATGCATGCAGAAACAAAGGATGTTTATTGTTCCCTTTGACTCTTAAAAAGAAGCCATTGAATTATATCTCATCATTCCGTGGAAACAAAGCAATCATGCAAATACCACAACAGAAAAATCCGAACTTTAGCAAAATACAGAGTACTTAACCTGCTGCATCGTATTAGAGCAAATTAAAAAAAAAATAAAAACAATTAATCAATTAATAAAGCTCTAATTAGATATAAAAGTTTGTTACTGGATAATTGATAAAGAAAATTTGAGAAAAATAAACTGTTACTAGGTTAGAAATTTGTATTTTCTCAAGTGAGCCGTATAGTGCTTAATCTTTCCGTTCGAAAAAACCATGGGCAAAACTAACAACTTTCAGCAAAAAAAAACAAAAAATACTGAGATTCTCTTCCACCTTTCCTTTCTTTCCCTCATTTCTCGGCAACCAAAACAAGGTCAGAGTTCAGACAACTCACAAGTCAAAAGCCCAAAAACAAAACAAAAAAATGAATTTCAGAGAACCAGACCTCTCTTGAGCTCGCTCAGCGGAGGCGAATCGTCCTCCGACGGCGCTCCTCTCAGCAAGCTCGTCACCTTAGACCTCCGAGGCCGAAAGCTCTCCATTTTCACACATTAAAACCCAAAAATTGAAAATTTAACAAAGTGCGGCAGATACGGAGATCGGAATCTCCGCAGCGACGCACGCGACGCACGCGAACGCGAAGCGAGATTCTCAAAATCACAGAAGAAAAAAAAACCCTAAATTTCAGCTCCCCTCACTCTGAAGAGAGAATCAGAAAAAAACAAATCTTGAACCGAAAGAGAAAAGTGAGAGAAGCCAGCAGAAAATGGAGAGAGAGAGAGAGAGAGAGTGTGATAAAGAGGCGTCCGTTGTGAGAATGCTAGAGAGAGAGAAGAGTGAGCGAGACTGGGTGCGGTGTTGGTGTGAAGAGAGAGAAAGTGAGAAGAGAGAGAGAGAGGAGAGAGATAGGAGAGAGAGTTAGTATGGGGTTTTGTTTTGTTTTGGGATTTTTTTGAACTTCAAATACGATATACTGGACGGGGAGGCTGAGGCCTGCGCGGCAAGTACTTTGGTGCCGTGTTGTAGATGGACACCTGGAAAACTGGCAGAGTCATACCCTGTTTCAACTCCCACCATCCTTACCGTAGTCCATCTACAACACGCACACAAAGTACTTGCCCGCGCAGAGCCTCAGCCTCCCCCGTCAGTATATCGGTATTTGAAAGTTCAAAAAATCCAAAACAAAACAAAACCCCAATACTAACTCTCTCTCCTATCTCTCTCCTCTCTCTCTCTCTCTCCTCACTTTCTCTCTCTTCACACCCAACACCGCACCCCCAGTCTCGCTCCACTCTCTCTCTCTCTAGCAGTTCTCACTAACGGACGCCTCTTTATCACACTCTCTCTCTCTCTCTCTCTCTCCATTTTCTGCTGGCTTCTCTCACTTTCTCTTTCGGTTCAAGATCTGGTTTTTTCTGATTCTCTCTTCAGAGTGAGGGGAGCTGAAATTTAGGGTTTTTTTTTCTTCTGTGATTTTTTGAGAATCTTCGCTTCGCGTCGCGTGCGTCGCGTGCGTCGCTGCGGAGATTCCGATCTCCGTATCTGCCGCACTTTGTTAAATTTTCAAATTTTTGGGTTTTTTAATGTGTGAAAATGGAGAGCTTTCGGCCTCGGAGGTCTAAGGTGACGAGCATTGCTGAGAGGAGCGCCGTCGGAGGACGATTCGCCTCCGCTGAGCGAGCTCACAGAAGAGGTCTGGTTTTCTCCTGAAATTCATTTTTTTTGTTTTGTTTTTGTGGGCTTTTGACTTGTGAGTTGTCTGAACTTCTGACCCTGTTTGGTTGCCGAGAAAGTGGAGGGAAAGAAAAGGAAAGGTGGAAGAGAAAATCTCAGTATTTTTTGTTTTTTTTTGCTGAAAGTTGTTAGTTTATGCCCATGGTTTTTTCGAAAACGGAAAGATTAAGCAACTATACGGCTCACTTGAAGAAAATTACAAATTTCTGAACCTAGTAACTAGTTTTTTATTTTTCTCAAATTTTCTTCTATCAAATTATCCAGTAAACACAACTATTTATATCTAATTAGCAGCTTTAATTAATTGATTAATTGTTTTTATTTTTATTTTTAATTTTGCTCTAATACGTATGCAATGCAGGTTAATTTTGGTATGTCTCTGTAATTTTGCTAAAGTTCGTGACTTTTTCTGTTGTGGTATTTGCCATGATTTGCTTTGTTTCCACCGGAATGATGAGATATAATTCAATGGCTTCTTTTTAAGAGTCAAAGGGAACAATTGAAACATCCTCTGTTTTCTGCATGCTATTTTCAAGACATTGATTGCGATGTTTCCTTTCCTTTTGATTTGTGAAAAGGGCACAATTGAAATTTCATGTAGTTTTACTGGGTTGGATTCTAATTCATTTGATGATGTCTAATTACTTGTAAATTTTGTGCAGTGGATTCTTCTCAGTTTGTCTATGGTTTGAAATGGTGATCCTCATGTTTGTGGGTTTTGTTTTCAGGAAACAGGCAGGTTCTGAAACAGAGAGACTTTCGGAAATTGGCCTCAGATTCGAGTTCTTGCAGTAGTGGCTCTACCGGCGAAGACTGGGTAATCTCATTTCCTATTTACTAGTTGTGTGTATTGAGCTGCATGATTTTATTTGGGGTTTGTACATGGAAGCCCTTGATAGCGTTACACTTCAGAGAAAGAACACTTCGAACCCAGTAGTTAAGAAAATAAACCCTAGAGTTGGTTTGGATGGTTTTTTTTTTTTCCTTTCTCTTTCTCCAATGGAGCTCATGAAGTGTTTTTCTATAAAAACTAGAGTTCTCGGGGTGTTTTTTCTAATTTACTAATTTTATTTTGCTTTTCTGTTCATTTTGTAACTTGAGCAGAGTAATGAGCCAAAAGATTCCGCTTTCTTTGTTTTTGTTTTTTTTTTTCTGAATTTTCGCCTTGTTTGGATTTATATTGGTATTGAAAAACAATCACAATGTGACATGCATGATGAAGTGTGTTAAGTATGTTCTTGCAGTTCCCCTCTGAATTGGGCAGGAGATCTTCACAGCAAGCTGTTGGAACTCCAATAAAGAAGTTATTGGCTGAGGAGATGGTGAGAGAAACCGAACCTAGAAGGAGATCACCAAGCTTAATTGCCAAATTGATGGGTCTTGATGGGCTGCCACCTCAGCAGCCTGCTGATAGACAATCAAAGGGCATTTCAGAGAATTATCTTCAGAAGAAAAGATCGGTAGAGAAAGAGCACAGAAGCAGTATGTCTCATGACCGCCATTCATCTAGGAAGAACTCAAGGGTGCAGCAGGAGTTTAAGGATGTGTTTGAAGTTTATGAACCTGCAAGGATTTACTCATCTCGAGGAAGTGCTAACCCAAAGCTCAGTGATGCTGAAATGGCTTTTGTTCGACAGAAATTCATGGATGCAAAACGCCTTTCAACAGATGAGAGGCTACAGGATTCAAAGGAGTTCCATGATGTGCTTGAGGTGCTGGAATCTAACAAGGATATTCTATTGAAATTCCTTCAGCAACCAGACTCATTGTTCACAAAACATATGCATGATCTGCAAGGTGGTCCTCAATCCCTTTGTGGTCGCATAGCATCTTTGAAGCCATCAGAAGCTCAAAAGTATGAAAACATTGACCTTGGCTTCACATCAGCAAGAGAGCAGAAGCATCGCTGTAAATCTCCTCAGAAGCATCGGGATTCTTTTTCTAGCCACTCTGACAGTAGACATCCTCTTGAATCATCACTAAACCGACCAGAAGTGAAAATTGAATCTGCCATTCATCCTACAATTCATCCTACAAGGATAGTTGTTCTGAAACCAAACCTTGGGAAGGTGCTGAATGCTCCCAAAACATCACCTTGTTCTCCTCGTGCTTCTATGTTAGATGGTGGCAAACACGCTGAATTTCTGAGCATTAGAAACAGGGAGGCAGAATCATGTGGAAGGAAAAACGTCCAAGATAATGATGGGCATCTGAGACACAAGTCTAGAGAATCTAGAGAAATTGCTAAGGAAATCACAAGGAAAATGAGAAATAACTTTAGCAGTAATTCTGTGCGTCTTTCCTCCTCTGGTTTGAAAGGATATGCTGGTGATGAGAGTTCTTGTAGCATGTCTGAGAATGAATCTGCAAACGAGTCAGAGAGGATGTCGGTGGCTTCCAGGCATTCCTTTCACATAAGTAACCACTCCAGGCCTTCATCGTCGTGCTCTACTGAATCATCTGTGAGTAGAGAGGCCAAGAAGAGGCTCTCAGAGAGGTGGAAACTGACACACAAGTCCCAAGAAATGGGACCTGTGAGCAGGGGCAGCACACTTGGTGAAATGCTTGCTGTCCCAGACAAGGAAACGCGAGCTGCTAATTTGAATGCCATGATTGGTGAGGCAGGATTCAGAGATACATTTTCTACTGAAGGGGTGGACCTCTGGGTATCAGCAGTAGGGATGGTTGGAAGGATGGATGCATCAATAGTTTATCAAGATCAAAATCTCTTCCTTCTTCATCTAGTGTGTTTGGAAGTTTTAAAACAAGTATGCGGTGTGAAACTGTACATAATGACAAGTATCCGATGCCAAAGGATACAGTCCCGCACGAAAGACACCGTATAGTAACTGGTAATCTTGATCTTAGAGAAGGTGTTCACAAACAGTCTAGATCCAGAAACAAAACATCTTATTCGTCTCCCTCAAGTAGGGAAGCTCTTGACATTTCACCTGAAACTCATACTACTGAGAATAAAGATAGAACTGACTTGGAAGAGAACAATCAAACCCAGAAGAATGTTGCAGTCTTTGAGTCACCACCTAGTAATGCTATGGATGCAAGTCCAGTTTCGGCAAATTTGGTGGATGTGGATGCATCCAAGCCTTCTGAAACTCCTGACGTGTTCCTTCCAGAATTATCATCTCATATGTCGGTAGAAGGCTATTCATCTGGTGGACACCAAGATAATGCAATTCCACAGGTTTGTGTTCAAGTTTTTTCTTTTTTCTTTTTGTGTGTGTGTGTGCGCGCGCGCGTGTGTAGTATGATAATATCACTGCTGCAATGATATAGAATTGTTGGAGACCTGTTTCTGTTGATATTTCCTGAACTGATTTCATCTTTGCTGTTCCCAACAACATGTGTATGTTGCAAATTGCTCATTGTGGGATGTTCATTATTTTATCACAACCATTTATACAAACAAGTAGATGCATCAATTCATCATACCGTTAACGTATGTCGCTTCTAGATGTGTTTGAAGTTCCTTCCCTGCTCAGTTGGAAGCAGGGCTTTGTATTTAAAAAAAATTTGTCTCAAATATTTTCATTAAATTTCCAGGAACCCTCAATCAGGCCACCCCATGAACAGGCAGTCCCCTCTAACCAGTCTGTACCTGGAATCGAATCTCCTGCAAGCTCCAAGGAAGCTGAGCAGCCCAGTCCGGTTTCAGTTCTGGAAGTTCCTTTTACTGATGATGTGTCATCTAGTTCTGAATGCTTTGAGAGTGTCAGTGCTGACCTGCAAGGTAATTGGAAGGCTATTTTATATTGATTATATTTCTTTTGTTTCTAGTGTCAGTTCCTATGAATATGTGGGTGCTAATGTGCTAATGTTGCATGCCTTCTTCCAGTATCCATGGAATATGTTGGTGTTAATGTGCATATAGATTGTTGTAATGAAGCCCCGACAGTAAGATGATACTTACTAACCACGTAAAATGTTCGTATAAACATAGCGACATATTGTGTGTGAAAAGTCAGTTGATTTTATTTTTTAATGAATACACATAAGGAAGCACGCAATTAGGTGTTGGGTAAAGGATATGCTTTAGTCATTATCTTCTAGTCACTGATGGGAGTTAATTGTTGTTTGAACTGAATCCGCTTTGAGTTTTCTTACAAATATGATGCACTTGTCTTCCCACTGTGTTGTGCATTCGTATATTTAATTGACCTCTTCCTTTTGTTTGCTTTAATGTTCATCTTTTATTTGGTTTGTAGGGCTTCGGATGCAGCTTAAGCTACTGAAGTTGGAGTCAGAACCATATGAAGAGGGACACATGGAAGTGTCGAGTGATGATGAAGTTGGTGATGGATCTACTGGGTTGTCAGATGCAAGAGGATTTTGTAAAGATGAAAAGAGCTGGGAGTCTGTATACTTGGCCGATACCTTAACTGAATCTGGTTTAAACAATGCTGATCCGGCTACCTTCTTGGCAATGTGGCACACCCCAGAATGTCCTGTGAATCCTTTACTATTCGAAGAACTGGAGAAGAAGTACTACGGTCAGACTTCTTGGCCAAAGCCCGAGAGGAAATTACTGTTCGATCGAATCAATTCAGGGCTCGTGGAGATGTTTGAGCAATTCACTGATCCATACCCATGGGTAAGGCCTGCGAGCAAAAGAATTGGTCCCAAGTGGATTAATCCAAGTGCAGCCGAAGATGTTCTGTGCACATTGCTAGCAAGCCAAGAAGAGAACGCGAACGAGGACAGTCTGGAGAAAGAGCTGCAACGTGACTTGCTGTGGCTGGATTTTGGAGACGAAATAGACGTAATAGGTAGGGAAGTAGAGAGGAAGTTGATAGAAGAGCTAGTAGCAGAGGTAGTGTAGAAGGCCAAAAATTTCAACCGAAGTTTTTTCTTTTGTTTTTTTGGTCAATAAGTTTAAATAGAATATGTAAATGAAGACTTGAAATTGTAGTTTCATGAGAAGATGAATAAATGGGATGGTCTTTGTTAGACCAAAAATTGTTGGTAGTTATGACTAATGAGGTAGAAAAGAATGCTTATTGACTACATAATTACCTTGTACCGATAAACTAAAGGCTAGTTTGTTATATTATTTCTTCTTATACATCGCTAATTCAAGTGAATTGAATCTGGTACTATTAATTTAAAGGCTCGTTGGTTATAATATTTCCTCCTATCCTTCCGTACGTGGTATATGGTTGGTGATTTTCCATAGCTGGTAAAACCACAGAAGGAAAAAATTTATTGGCTACATAGACCAAATACAAATATAATAAAACTTGATATACCACAAATCTAACATGGATCAGACTGCTAATAAACAGTAAATAACCATTTAAGGAAAATGAAGAATTTTTTATACAAATTTCCTATCAAAGTTAAACCTAATTTCTTATATGAGCACAACAGCAGAGCATAATTTTCATTCAGAAACAACAAAAGCAAAGAGAGAGAAAGATAAGCATATCATGGTACTGTCACTATCCTACCAAAGCTTTTCATGGCTGGCCTTAGACCTAGTTTGGGAGTGAGGTGCTTAAAAAAAAAGCACCTATGAAAAAAAGCTGTGAGGGTTTTAGGTGTTTGGTAAACTGAAAAAAAGGGCTTATTTTGGAAGCTGCTGTGAGAATAAGCTGAAATCAAAGGAAAAAGCTGAAGCTGCTATTTGCAGCTTTGGAAAACTGGCTTTTTTTTTTAAAGCACATGGAGCTACAGTGCTCCTTTAATGAAAAGACCCACTATCAGACTGCTTTTTTTTTTCCAAAAGCACTTTTACAAAAAAGTTTACCAAACGCTCTGCTGCTTTATTTCACAGCCGCTTATTCTCACAGCACAGCCGCTTATTCTCACAGCAGCTTTTTTTCAAAGCACAGCAATACCAAACCAGCCCTTACTCCTTGTGCTAGCCCTAAGCTTTGCCTCTTCCTCCTCTGATGGCAACGAAGAGAAGTACAACCAGTTGCTTGGAATATGGGTTACACCGGATCGCATCCTAGCAAAGGGCTCTGCAATCCCACCATCTGGTCCTAGCAAGGGACAATATAGTCCACCACCTGGTCCATTTCCATCGAGCTTTGGTAAATTACCAAAAGGCCCTTCAATTCAACCGTCTGGTGCAGCAGGTGAAGAACATGGAACCGGAGTGACTTCATCACCTCTTCGCAAAATATCATCAAGAGGATTGTATTTTGGTATGTTGCCAAAGGGTACTCCAATTCCGCCATCTGCTCCTGGTAGAACACATAATGCAGGTCCACCTGAGACATAAGCATCAGAAAATTATTAAACTTTTTTTGTGCTACAAAGGAGCACTACAACTCCTACCGTCTTGTTCTAGCAGTAGCATAAAATAATAGTGTTTAGCTGTTTGAGATCTTATGAAAAAGATGAATGCATCAATTTAAGCATATCCCTAATCTCTATGAATGCACTGTGAACCCACATAGTTCATCTTTTATTTTTCATTTTATTTTATTTTTCTTGATTTGCTAAAAAACATTGTGTCGTTGTATAATATAAGTTGTACATAATGAGGCGGATAAAGACTTATTAGCCACTTTTCTAACTTTATTATGTTCTTGCATACTTGAGGCAACGGAATGTATGTCAATGGCGATCGAACGAAATCCCAACAACAGCAAAAAGGTTGCCTTTATTATGTTTACCTCCGACCTAAACATATTGTATAAATATCATACTATGGATCGTATAAAAGAACTGGTTCATAAGGAAATGTTCTCGTTTTAACATGCTATCATAGCCAAACTCATTTAAAAACAACATCCACCATGATTCAAATCTGAATCTAGTTCGTGTATCAGTAAGGAATTGCGGGGGTCAAGAAACCTACGTTGAATGAAATGAGGACACTGAAAAGTTTTGTGGTATTTAATTAGCAAAACTGTATTATTAGATATGATGACGCTTATTAAGTAAGCATATGAATGGCCATGGTCGTTGTTTTGTTATTCTAGCAGTGGAGGATTTTGGATTTTCAAATAATAGGGTCATGATTTCGACCAAAAAAATTGATTGGACCATTTCGTTGAGCACCTGGTAGGAACATGTCTATTATTGCCAACATCTATTGAAGGCTTATGCCAACATATGCCAACAACTAGTATGATATGTAGAGGCTTGTCAAGAGTGGCTATAGGAAACTGTAAAGTAATGTTGAATACGGCCAAGACTTGTCAATTGAAGCATTTCATCATTTTATGGGCACAATAGAGTCGCACACAAGAAGAGAGAACAAGGCATGGATGATAAAAAAAAAAAAAAAGTAGAAGGAGGAGATTGTAATTTAGTTTGCTTTAATTGTTTCTACTATGGTCAAATACAATTCATATATAAATCTACATAATTTTTTGAAGAAGTTGGAGACCAATGATCCCATATTAACTCTACCACTATATTCTATTCTAGTATTAAATTAGTCAATTAAGATCCACATGTACTAATGCTAATGAATTGAATTTCGGTAATTAGTGTCAGGTATATAGGTGGATTAATACGCAGTGACATAAGTAATTAATAGTGGAATTTATTCATGCCTACAATAAGGCTATAGAGGAAGCATATTGGCTTCAAAAGATATTAGAGGATATAGTCCTGGGCATATAATGTGATAGTTTGTCGATTTGGGCAAGGCACAATGTCTAAATTGAAAAGAGTCATTTGCATTATAAAAGAGATAGTGAACAATCTCTACTATAATAATAATATTTTAAGGGCATGAAGAGGTTATAGACCTTCCTACAAGTACCGCAAGTGTGGGCGAACATGCCAAGTGATAGCAAATTACTTACTAAGTCCCAATATATGTGACGGGGACTTAACATTCGAAACAACTACTCTCGTATGAAATATAAAGTCATAAGATAGAATGTGCACACAATTGTAGATAGTCAACTGATCCAATTATTAAAGGTTTTCCTATAGACTGAGTTGATCATCGAGGAGAATGAGGCTAAAGCCAACATAATCAATGAATCAATCGGGCAAAACCTAACTGAGTTGATTGGAAATCCCAGTCTAAGTTCAATAGGCAAATTGGTTAAGCATGATTCAAATAAAGTTAACACACCATATATCTCATTCGTATGGTGGCAAAGTGTGTTGTCTGAAGTTTTAGATTTTATATTTATACTTAATGATATTGATATCTTATAATAAGAAGAACAAAGCAAACTATTTGTTACACTTATGGTTCCAAGATACGCCTAGAATTGGCAGCAAAAAGTAGTGGTACGATGATACATAGAATCATACATAACATACATAAGATATTAAGCAGAAACGAAATTACGATAAAAGGGCAACAAACCCTACTCTTGAGTGCAACTGCGCAAGAAATATCTCTACACAGTGGCAGAGCCACATAGAGGTCAGGCTAGGCCTAGACCTATCCTGGAATTGGACGAATATATATGTATTTGTGATAGTTTTGAAAGAATTGTTTGTATTGAAAATGTGTAAGGTTACAAGAAAGAGAACTTATACAAGTGGAGAAGGATGTCGTGAGTCACCCGATGAACATCACACACCATGCTTCACACACTAATATTCTAACACCCATACTTTACACATTAATATTCTAACACCCATACTTTACACATTAACCCATACCTATAACCCATACTTTGGATATTAGATATTCTACCCATACCTATAACCCATACTTTGGATATTAAATAATCTAACACTCCCCCTCAAACGAAGGCTAGTATATTCATCAAGCCAAGTTGGACCAAAAGAGTGTTGAATTGAACCCGAGACAATCCTTTGGTGAAGATGTCTGCTAGTTGATCTGTGCTCCGAACAAAAACAGGTTGAATGACATCAGATTGGGTTTTTTCTCGAACAAAATGACAGTCCATTTCAATGTGTTTGGTTCTTTCATGAAATACAGGATTAGATGCAATGTAAATAGCAGCTTGGTTATCACAGAAAAGAGGCATAGGCAGTGTTCTCTTGAACCCTAAGTCGTTGAGCAAACCTTGCAGCCAAATTAACTCACAGGTAGTAGATGCCATGGCACGATATTCAGCTTCTGCACTTGATCGAGCCACCACACTTTGTTTTTTGCTTTTCCATGTCACCAGATTTCCACCAACAAATGTACAATATCCAGTAGTAGATCTTCGATCAATTTTGGAGCCACCCCAGTCTGCATCTGTGTAGCCAACAATGTGAGCATTTCCGATCTTCCTCATCACAATCCCAGTTCCAACAGTGCCTTTCAAGTAGCGCAAGATCCTTCGAACAGCTTGTAAGTGAATTGATCGAGGAGCATGCATGAACTGACTGACTAGGCTCACGGCATGCATGATATCAGGACGAGTAATGGTAAGGTAAATAAGTTTCCCTACCAATCTCTGGTATAAACCAACGTCTATCAGTAAATCTCCATCTAATCCAAGTTTCTCTTTGCAAGCTATTGGGGTTGCCACTGGTTTTGCCTCAAGCATTTTGGACTCTTGAAGTAAATCAAGTATGTACTTGCGTTGGTTCAAGAGCAAGCCTTTACTAGATGAAGCAACTTCAATGCCTAGAAAATACTTCAGAGTTCCTAGATCTTTAATTGCAAACTTTTTGTGAAGAAAGCCCTTAAGTCGCTGAATTTCTGTCAAACTATCACCAGTCACAATGAGATCATCGACATAGATGAGAACGACAAGTTTACCTGCTGAACTATCTCGCACAAATAGTGAGGAATCTGCATTGCTCCTTTTAAAACCAATGTTCTCTAACACAGAACTTAACTTGGCATACCAAGCTCGAGGAGATTGTTTGAGGCCATAAATGGCCTTGTGTAACTTGCAAACCATGCCTCTTCTTCTTGTGGATGTCCCGGAGGCAACTGCATGTACACATCTTCTTTAAGTTCTCCATGCAGGAAGGCATTCTTTAACATCCATTTGGTATAGGGGCCAATCATGGTTGACAGCAACCGAGAGAAGCACTCTTACCGAGTTCATCTTTGCCACAGGAGCAAAGGTTTCCTT